TAAACTCGGGGTTATTTTAAAGGCAGGAAACAGAGAGTTAAAAGAGCCACACCAGCATTGCATATTGCCTTCCAGCAAATTTAGGTGCTCACGCTGGATCATCTAATTTTTAAATGCACATCATTCCCTGAGCCCTGCAAGTAGCATGAATCTAACAGTTACAGCCAAAGAACTTGCAGGCTCTGCTTTGTAATAGTTTCCTCTTAGGCTGCTCTTCTGGGCAGTCGCGGGGATTTTACTACTGAAACTTCCACCTGCTGCTAGCCCCAGATGTCCTCCCCGTAGCGTTGCTGCTGCCCTACAGCACCTCCATCAATGATATTTGTGCCCTTAGCCAGGAAACAAAGTAGATCCCAGCTACAGCATTTCTGCTTCTTGTTTGTTTGGTTTATGCATCCCACTACTAACCAGACGAATCCCCTTGCTTCTTACCATTGCTCCTGTCCCAGTAAAGCAGGCAAATTGTTTCTCTTTAACAGGCATATGCTGTGTTTTCCCAGAAAATCCTGATTTGTGTGGGTTTGGGTCAGGTAAGAATGCTCCCCATTAATTTTCTATGCTGTACGCTTTTGTGTTGTTTCAGAGAAATCAAAATAATTCAATATTTCTTGGGTTTTTCCTTGTTTGTTTTCATTCTGACGTTCGGACTGCTGTGAGCAGTGAACATTCGGGAACAAGATGAACCACTAATTGATAGCTTTCCCCAATTAGACTTGGAAAGTTTATGCAAAAAGAATAAAATAGCAACTCAAATTCAGAGTATAAACAATTTGGTCACAGGAACAGCTCCCGAGCAGAGCTTGACCTTTCAGTCTGGAGCAAAATCTGCTTTCCCTGCCCTACAAAGTTACTCCTGGTGCTGGTGTTCATGACAGGGCTTTGTAACCATGTTTGAGGCATGCATTATTAAACTTTTTTTTTTTTTTCTTAAAATACATTCCCAGAGGCTGTGATGTGCTCCATATTGGGAAGCAGGCTCTTCTTGGGCACCCATGGAAATTTTTGTCTGCCTGCAGCATGTGGCAGCAGGCAGGGAGGCAAATCAAGAGGGAATCAGGTCTGTTAAGTTATTTACAGGCAACTGTGCAAAGGTAACAGAAAAATAAAGTGCTGATCTTCACGTTAAGGAAAAGAATTTTTTTACTCCAGAGTTGTAAAAGTAGATGGGCAAACTGGGAGCTGGGAATAGTGAGGTATTTTGGAGTTTTTGCTCCAAGGAGAGGAGTAACCTGTGTGTTACAGACTGCTTCCTGCTGTGCTGCTGCCACTTCTGTTGCTTCATCACCAGGAATGAACACCCTTGTTTTCAGCTGGGAATCCCAAAGCAGGGCTATCAGATGGAATACCTGCATGCATGAAGTGAACAAAACAACAGGGAAAGGATCTGTGGTGCTCAGTAGAAGGACCAGAGGCAATGGGCACAAAATGAAACACAGGAGGTTTCTTTTGAACATCAAGAAATACTTCTCCACTATGACGGTCACCAAGCACTAGCACAAGTTGCCCTGTGAGGTTGTGGAGTCTCTGTCCCTGGAGACACTTAAAAGCTGCCTGGCATGGTCCTGGGCAACCTGCCATAAGGTGGCCTTACCTGAGCAGGGGAGCTGGACCAGGTGCCCTTCAGAGGTGCCTTCCAACCCCACCCTTTCTGTTCTGCTGTGGCCACACCTAGTACCTGCTAGTTTTACCTAGGCTTGAGCAAAGTGAAAGTCTGGTGGAAAGACTAACTCCCAGGTTTTATGATATCAACTTCAAGACTAAAACCCCATGGAGGCTTACAGGGAAGAATGAGGAAAGAAAATACACAAATGTTAATGAGTCTAAACATTAACTGCTGGGCAGATAGATAACTTTCAAAAATAGATCAGCTGGAGACCAGATGGCCTGTGGGCCCCAGACTCTTCAGAAGGGAGTTTCACCAGGGCTCAGTGTTTTGGGGAAACAACCAGAGCAGGGCCATGTGCTGGGGAAGGAGCAACCCCCAAGAGACCCTGCCCTCAGCCCTGCTCTCCCTGTGCTCTCTGCAATTGAAGGATAGCTTCTTCTGAGAGTCAACAAGAGGAAGAGGAGCCATTTTTTTACTAGTCTGGGCTGTCAGCAAGGGTCATTGTTGGGATGAGCCCCCTTTCTTTCTGACCAGGAAAAGGGTGGCACCTGCCCCCTTGAGTCAGGAGCCAGCTCCTGACCAGAGCTGTCCCACGCCTACACCCAGGGATGGCAAAAGGAAAACCTGCCTTCTCCCACTCCCAGGACAAAGCCACGGGGGTTTCCCAGGCCAAAACTATTAATCAGGAGTGTGCAGTGGCAGAGGTTATGATGACTTTCTGCTGGAATGAGGGAGAGTCAAGTCCCAGTAGGCACGCAGCCAGGCTCCTGGGCTGCGCCGGGCGGTTCATGCAGCTTCCCAGTGCCAGGGTGACCTCAGGTCCCCATCCATCTCCTCAGCCTCTCTTCCTTCCGCCCACAGGGCGCTAATCACTGCCGAGGTTTCTCCAGGAGCACGGCATTCCGCCTTAGTCATCTGAGCAAGCCCCCTTCTTCCCCTTAAAGTTTTCCCATGCTTGATTCGGCTTTGTATCAGTAGGAAATGACAAGTCATGCCACTTTTTTTCAAGTGTTTCATACTACTTCACTCTACCTACACACAGAGTGTCCAAGCGGGAAAGCACAATGAACTCATGAAGTATGACCAATAGGAAGTGACATTTTTCCTTCTTTTGTTCAGCAAATTCCCTATGGACTGCAGTTAAAATATTGGAGACATTTTATTTAAAGACAGGAAGGTTGTGTTTTCAACTTAGATACATTGCTGATTTAATTTTCCATCTGACTGAAACCAAAACTGACTACTCTGAACAATTTTCAAGGGAAGATTGTGAACTTGTAAGACAATTCTAAGAATACAATTTTCAGTCAAGTGCTGTCACTAAACCATGTTTTAATAAGGTAAAAATTAACATAGCATTTCACTTAGGAAGTAAGTATTCTCAGTGTGTGTCAACTTCAAGAGTCTTTTACAAAAGCAGCCATCCTCAAGCTTGTGCTTCATAAATTTGGCAGTGTGGGTAGCAGCAGAACTACATCTCTGGCAGGTATCTTCTGATGGTTCAGTGGTGACTTCTTCCTTAACAGATGCAGATTTTTGCTCTGATGTCCATTCATATGCCCAAGGAACGGTGGTGAATGGAGATGAATCCAGTTGGTGGGCAGCCACAAGGGCTATTCTCCAGGACTCAGTATTTGGGCTGGTTCTCTTTAACATCTTTATCCATGATCTTAAGGAGGAGATAGAGTGCACCCTCAGGAAGTTTGCAGATGACACCAAGTTGGGCAGAAGTGTTGATCAGATTGAGGGTAGGAAGGCTCCTCAGAGGGATCTGGACAGGCTGGATTAATGGACTGAGGCCATTTGTATGAACTTCAACGAGGCCAAGTGTCAGCTCCTGCACTTGGGTCCCAACAACCCCAAGCAACACTACAGGCTTGGGGAGGAGTGGCTGGAAAGCTGCCCGGTGAAAAGGGACCTGGGGGTGCTGATCAACGTCTGGCTGAACATGAGCCAGCAGTGTGCCCAGGTGGCAAAGAAGGCCAATGTCATCCTGGCCTGTATCAGAAATAGCACACGCAGAAGGACTGGGGAAGTGATTGTCCCCCTGTATTCAGCACTGGTGAGGCTGCACTTCGAGTACATGTTCAGTTCTGGGGCCCTCACCACAAGAAAGACATCGAGGTGCTGGAGTGGGTCCAGAGGAGGACAGCTGGTGAAGGGCGTAGAGCACACATCTTATGAGAACAGGTGAGGGAACTGGGGTTGTGTAGCCTGGAGGAAGGGAGGCTGAGGGAGACCTCATCACCCTCTACAACTCCTTGAAAGGAAGTTGTAGGGAGGTGGGAGTTGGTCTCTTCTCACAAGTAACAAGCAACAGGACAAGAGGAAATGGCCTTAATTTGTGCCAGGGGAGGTTTACATTGGATAGTAGGAAAAATTTATCCACTGAAAAGGTTGTCAAGCCCTGGAACAGGCTGCCCACGGAACTGGTTGAATCACCATCACTGAATGTGTTTAAAGGTTTTGTAGATATGATGCTTAGGGACATGGTTTAGCAGTGGGCTTGGTACAGTGAGGTTAATGGTTGGATTTGATGATCTTAAAAGGTCTTTTCCACCTAACAATTCTATGATTCTTCAGCAGTGCTTTTCCTCCTAGAGCAAGGCTTATCTGATGGCTATGTGCTTTAAAAAAGAAGCTGCAGACTCTGACAGGTAGGCGAAATCCCTGCACACTCACTGACTTGTGGTGCTGTTACATTGCCATCAAGAGGACTGCTACTAAGGAAACTAATTCTCAAACTCTGAAAATTTTCACTGAAATGCCAGGCACTTCTTTGCACCTTAGTTTCCAAACCTCCCATCCCAGAGAGGGACTCTTCTTTTGCATCTCTCTTTGAAGTAATTGCATCAGCTGGGCTCAAGCAGGCAGAATTTAACTCCTTGTAATCACAACTGCTGATACTGAGGAATGGGATTTATTAGGAAAAGTTGGGTTAATGAAACAGCAGAAAAGCTGCAAGAACCTGTGCTTAATTTTGCTTTGTCCTGCTCAGGCTACTAATAATATATTTCTCATCAACAGAGCATGTTCTTATGTAATTTATGAGCTGTGACACCCTCACTGGTTACAAGCACCACGTTCTGATGTAAGTCTTTCTCCATGTTATGCTGCTTATGTATTTTTGTCCTTTTTTAATATTCCTTAACCTACATATGGCAACTGACCCCAAATCACACTGAAAAATTAAGAAGTTAGAACTATGAAAGCTTGTACATGTGTTTTCACAGAATGACTTCTAGACAGTCAAGGGTTTGAAACTCTCCTTTTATTGCATATATTTCTTCTTACTTTACAAATAATTATATGCACTGATACAAATGTTCCTTCACAGAAGGTACATTTCTTTTTTTTTAAAAAAAGGGCTAGGGCATCATTCAAAATCAGCCATTTATTGTTCATTAATATAAAATGTATTCATATTTCTAGGAGGTGTCATATCCAAACCACTGTTCATCCAAATTTCTTGTATGATCTGCTCCCTGCGCTCTATCCTTTCGGCCAGTTCCGCCGCCTCTGTCGAACTATAACCTGAGTAAGAAGGCCTGTAAAGTCCTGCTACCTCATCCTGGATATCCGAATCAGAGGAATCCTCCTCCTCCTCCTCCTCATTTTCACTGTTCTCGTACGCTCTGTCACTTTCTGGCACTAAGTGCTCCTTCTTTCTGTGCAATTTCTGGAAGTCATTTGAGCACCACCCACAGATCACCAAAGCACAGAGTGTGAAGATTAATCCCACACAAACGCTGGACATGAACAGGAGAGCTGCTCTTTCAGGGTGATCTGAAATCAGAAAGTCAGTGCTTAAACACTTTAAACACTCTGCCAAAGTTTCGTTTTGAAAAAATCAGCTTGCCATTTCCAACGCATTCCACATTAAAGTAGCCATAATGGTGGACAGTGCCTGGGGGGACGTGGGGTGTGAGAAGGATTTTTGTCATGAACTGAAACCACCCTGCACTTGCAGTCCGAATGCTGCCATCTCTGCCTCTTCAAATTACTGTGCAAAAATCTCAGCCTCTTAATAACATCCCAAGATAGCATTATCCCATCTTTTTATTAGCAGCTTAGCAGCATTCTCAACCCGCTACCAGAAGCACACCCTTTTTTATTTTTTTTTCCAGCCATCCTGCCAAAACTGGCATTGCCCTCATGAAGAGGGGGCATGGGAAGAGCAACCCTGGGCTCTGTGGCACCACGGCAGCATCTCCAGGCCAGGCTGGGTGAGGAGCATTTTTCTTCCTTATAGCCTGAGATCACTTCTCAGTACAGTAACAAGTGAGACAGATGTAGAAATGGCCTTTCTTGATGGGTTGTAAAATCCATCCCTGACTGCTTGGGGTGATGATGGGATGTCTCAGGGGTGGTGGGGTCTGGGAGCCTGGGGAGAGCTGCTGGGAGCAGCTGGGTGCCGCTGGCAGGGACAGTGTGCCTTGCCGTGCCGGCAGGCTGTGGCTGCTCCTCCTGCTGCCAGGGGAAGCCCTTGCAAAGGCTGTGGGATGATGCTCGACAGCTGTGTGGCCCTTGGTGTTTTCTAGAAAAGCAGCAGTCTCAGCTTCAGAATTGCTTCTCAGCATCAGCCTTTGCTCACTCAGTTCCAAAATTCTTGACTTCTCCTGTGGTATTAGAGATCTAGTGATCACAAATTTGTTTGCCTTAGTGTTGCTAAGTCACAAAAACTGCCAGATCCCACCCCAGAGATGGTTTGGTTTAGGTTGTTTTGTTTTGTTTTGTTTTGTTTTGTTTTGTTCTTTACTTGCTCCTCGAAAATCCATATAAGTATGCAAACCAACATTTCCAAAAATGGAAGTCTCCAGTGCAGTTCCCAGATCAGGACCAGGTTTTCAAAAATACTGAACAACCAACAGTCCCCATTGAAAATATTCATTAAAAAATATCTTGGCTGCAGTCTCTAAAAGAGTTTGGATCCTCCAAGTTGGAAATTATTCTATAAATATCAATTATAGTGTGACTGTCACACCCACAAGACTGTGATTATGTTGTAACAGTATCATTACTGTTAACATAAGATTACCAGTTATGACCTTCTGAGATGATCCTCTCTTTTCCCAAAATGTCATGATCTAATGAACCAAACAATCTCAGCCTCATCTTCCTACCTCTAATGTATGCAAATGTAGCCAAGGAGTTGCTAACAATAGTTCCATCTTTCTTTGGAAGTCTTGATTCCTTTGGGTCCAGGTTGACACCTGTGGTACATGGAGGTAAAGCAAATTCTATCATATCATAAATGATGAAGGTACTAAAATGATATTCACCCAATAACTTTTAAACTAACAAGTCACTTAAAACACAGGCAGGCCAGCGTTGTGCCATAGGAACATTGCAGAACATTAGACCAAACAAGAGCTGATAAATAAAATAAATACTGAAATAAAGTATAAATAACAAAGTATTGAAAACATTTAGTACCTAGACAATAGAAAATTTATTTAAAAGCATCTATTACACTACCCTTGCCCATTCCCATTAAGGTTTCTGAAATAATTTTATTTCATTAAGCTTCACAGCTCTGAAATGGACTTCTCAGCCCAGTCACCAATGACTGCAAATATGCATTAGCCACATCATTAATTCTGTTGCCTTTAAAAAGAATGAGTGTTGGCACAAATCTTAAAAGCTTCTTCACCCTGAAACAACTGCAGTTTCGCTTTTGCTTTTCCTTTTCCCGTAGTTCAGTCAAAGTCAGAGAACAGCACACTGGTTATGGGTAGGTGTAGAAGGGTCACTCATTCCACAGCATTGCTGTGAGAGCATGACTGTGGTCATGCAGGTCCCATCCTGTTTCCCACCTCTGAGGGGAAGAGCAGCTGCTTCTGCAGCATTTCCATTACTTCGTCCCACCCCTCTCAGAACAAGCTCTGAAGTGGGGAAAATGTCCTATTTTCATCCAAGACAAAGGAAAGCAGCAAACCATGTTTTGGATGCTACGTACCATCATTCTGCTTAACGGAAGACCCGCTGTCAGTGACCAGTGAGTTGACAGCCGTGAGGATAAATTTAGGGACTTGAAAAGACAAAAGACAAATTGTGTACTGTTAGTTTTAGGAACCAGATCCCCAGTTAATTATCAATCCCACTGCTAATCCTGGCTTTATTAGTTAGGCTTCCAAAGGTGGTATCAAAGGGATCGGGTCGGGTGGCTGCACCCAGAGCCAGCATGGGCAAGTGCAAGCCTTGCCAGTGTGCAGGACTTGCCCCAGTGCTGCAGCCAGCGCTGAGCCTCCTTGGTGGCCCCGAGATGCTCCCTCACACCCAAAGGCCGTCAGCGTTTGCAGAGGTGGTGTGTGGTGCAGCCCCACACAAAGCCATGGTCACCATCCCCACCACGCCAGCCCTGGCTGGGGCTGCTGCTGCTGCCTGCTGCACTGCCCTGACACACTAACCTAGTTATACTCTATTCCTGATGACTGGCAAACACCCCAGGAGATGGGCTGTGCCCAGTGACATGTCCTCCTTCCACCACCACCCACAGATCTGACACACCAGGAGGCACAGCACCAGGACGGTGTGCCAGGGGACGGTGGCAAATGGCACACTGCTCACAGCATTGGCACTGGTGGGGAGGAAAAGGAGGTGGGAAAGGGAATAAAGTAATGGGGAAGAAAACCGAAAGGAAGGTTGGGTGGGTGGGGATGGGAGACAAGGGAAAGTGCGGCAGGCAGAGCAAGCCTGGGGGATGAGATGCACGGGTGGAGAGCCAATAGTTTCCACTTAAAGATGAATAAAACACCAAAGAGGATAGACAATGCTGTGATTTTTTGCTAGGGACTAGTAAGGGTAGCTCTGGACTTGTGACTGGATTCACATGCTCTGTGGAGCTCTGTGGAGCTCCAGGAACATCAATGCAGCTGTACACAGCACAGGGACCTGCCCCCTCTTTTTCTACCCCTTGATTTCCACCCCACAAGGGGTGAGCCAACCAGTGGATAGGAGACAAAATTGGCCTATAAATTCAGGATAAAGTGGGCTACAGCCAGATGCTAAACTGCATCCAGATACGCTTTTTGCATGAGGGTAATTCACTGTAATTCTCAAAGAAATGTGTCAAGTTTTGTGTGGCTTTCTCTGCAAAGCCCCTGAGATGAGTGGTCACCGAGGAGGAAGGTGTGCACAATAGGAAGAGACGTGCTGGGTGGGAATGAGCTGTATCCTTCTCATTTCATTATATTTTTCCCTTGATAAGTTTTCACACTCTTATTAAAACAATTAAAAGAGCGAAAAGCAGGTGCATCATGCAGCCATTGATAGTTCACATGTTCTGTGTCAGATGAAAGGGCCCTTCAGACAGGCAGATCTTGGCACCTGTTCCCCATAATATGTGAAGGCAGACTGATTGACTTTCAGACTGATGTGAAGGAGGAGAAAAAAGGGAAGAAATTTCAGGTATGACGCTCACCTCTATCCCACATAGAAACATTTCCCAATAAATAGTCTTAAGGAAAGTTAAATGAAACAGAAGAGTCTGAGGTTTGCAAGTTAGCATAGTTTTCATTTGAAAAACAACTAAAAATAGCACTTCTTTCTGATCATAGCTTTTGTGTGTGGGCTCAAAGTCATAGCTGTTTCCTTTCCTGATGAAGGAATCTTTTTGGGACTCCTAGCTCCTGTTTGCAATAGAAGGCCAACAGAGATAGGGGAGAATGAGATCATTTCTATTTTGACTTTTACTTCATCATAATTCTTAACTGTTCTCCAGTGACAGAATATTTTTGTTGGTGCATGAGGCAGACCGGGCAGGTTGGTTTGTTTTCAATCTGCACTCTAAATCTGCAGGCCTGGCTGTTCTGAACAATGTGCACGTGTTATGAACAATGTCCTTGGAGGCCGCACAGTCCCCAGTGCCTTTGTGTGACCTGAAGCTCCTGTCGCATGGCCTGGTGCCCAGGATGGGGCTCCTTCACCTGTGCTGATGTTCTTCCTGCTCCCCTCCCAGGGGGAACTTCCCTGTGCTTTCCTAGCTACAGGACTGAATCCTTTCCCCATGGCTTCCTGTCAAGTTTGAAGGGCTATTTAACATGCCATTCAAATATTTGTTGAAGGGGGATGCTTAATTCAAAATGGCATGGACAAAAAAAGCTCCTGACTGCTTTCACTGTTAATTTTTGTTATAGCTTTATTTCAGACACAAGGACTTTAACTAGGATAGGCTGCATCAGCTCACTTCACAGAATAACTGGTACTAACACGAGGAATTCTTATCAAGATAATCACATCTGTACTACAACTTGTGCCAGCACTACTTCGGCGAGTAGGGTAGGAGTCAGTCATCTACTGCAAGCTGCCAAAGGCAGCCCACAGACAGACTCCGAATGGCCTCCAGCGAGTGCAGCTACAACGTGGGGTGTCAGGAGCTGCGTTTCCTGGGAAAGGCTCCTGAAGCCCAGCAAGAGCCAGGAGATGCCACCTCGTGCAGACACAAGACGATGCTGAGCAGGCCACCAGGGGCACTGAGGCTGCGAGAAACCAGCACCTTCTGACTCCTGCAAAGTTTTTACTAGCAGGGATTAACTGCAAAATTAAAAATGCAGCCAGACATGCTAGCCCTAAATGGTTGCTGACCCATGAGGTGGGGAGTATGATTTTTTTTTTTCACATTCCTGACCAGGATGGAAATACTTTAAAGTGTGTCACAGCCCTTAGAGACTGTGGTCTACTGCATTATGCTCCTGTCACTTCAGGGCAAAGCCTGTTTACCTTATCTCGGGTAGCATGAGGATAGCAGGGATCTTCTAGTGAGGGGAAAGCGTGTAAAATGTCATTCTGGAATATGCCCAAACTCTTCCCATGTTCAGTAGATGATCTGTAAAATAATTAGACCTGCAAATCATTGGCTAATGCTTCAGATTGCACAGCTCAGTAGGATTTGGCAGAAGAAAACATCTTCAAAATGTGCCAGCAACACACAAGAACACTATTTATTACCCACGTGTTTTTGCAAAACCACTTCACTAAATAACAGAATGCATAACCTCACTGCAAACAAACTTACGCCAGTTTTCTAGTACACAGAAGTGCAAGAAACAATCTGTTGTAATTATCCTTGCTCTAATTAAAGGGAATTCCATTAACTCATTCATAAAGTTACTACAGCATGAAGGCAACTGCACAAACGTATAACATATTAGTGCAAAGGCAGATGTCCGGCTCTCTTCAACAATATAAAGCTGAATCACTGCAATGCTTCTCACCTGACAACTAACTCACGTGGAGACTGGAAAAGAAAATCTCTTGTGCCAGCATGCAAGCAGCCAGGGCTCATTTTCCTCTGATCTTCAGGTACACAGTGATCTTGTAATCAATCCTACATTTCTGTTCCCAAAAGCACGTCTCAGATAACCCATACCCTTTGACCACTACTCACTAGAGATTCAATAAAAGGACTCTATGTTGTGTCCCCGTGGAGCTACGGCTGCTGACTCCCTACAGACCAGAAAGAGCCAGAAAGAAGCCAGGCTGGTAGCTTTCCAAACAGTGCACAGTAAGCAGAGCAATAACTTGGTGAAAAAAACCTTTTATGCATCCTTTGGTTGAAGCAGAAGCATGTGAGAGACAATCTAATCACCCCTGATCTTCACACTTCCACCCCACAGCCAGCCCGCAACAGAACGCGGAGCCTGAGGAAATCTGTTCAAGGCTTAAGAAATGCACAGCCACTCCTATAAACGTGCAATACCAAAATAAGGTTCTACACTGAAGTAGAGTGTTATTAATATTTCTCACTGTTATTAATATTCCACTTTGCTGTCCCACAGCATTTTCTTTGGAAAAAAAGAATTGTAGAGAATTCTGCTTTCCCCAATGTAAATATATTAGTCTATGGTCAAGGATATGGAAAACTGTCCCCTCTTGTCTGAGGAATGAGCTGAAGTAGGCTTCAGTCCTGCAAGGGAGGTATGACCTCTAACCTTTACTTTTAGTGAGATTTTGTCCATGAGAAAGGAAATGCCTCTGCAAGGTTGAAGGTTGTAGGTGTGCTCATGTGAATCAGATTTCAGAAATGGGCTTGTACACAGTGCTTCAATTATGCTGGACTGCCTTACCTGCACTGATGGCAGGCAATGCCAGGCTATCTTTCCTAGCTCTACAGCAGGTGAATAATGTAGAATAGACTCTTGCTTTGATAGTATTTCTCAAAATACTAAGGCACACACTTCATATTTTATTGTCAGTTGCATTTTCATAGGAAAATCCCTTAATGCCTCAATTTACATGAGGTGCAGATCAGCCTATGGGCCTGCTTGAATATTTTGGTTGTTCTTGCATGGCTCTGTCACAGACATCCTGTTAAAAGGAAGGGGAGACTTAGGAAGCCTCTGTGTGCATGCGTGTGTCTCCATTTTATGCACCTTTTGGCACCGTTTTGCTTTGCAAGCAGAATGAGGGCTTCAAAATGCTCACACATTTGCTCTTACCACATGCATAGCTGACGTTCAGGTATTTTGTCACTCCAGGTAGGCAGGGACTTCCAAAATCCTGGCTAGTGACAATGATTTTGCACCTCTGTTTCCCATAACACCTTTTTGATAAAACTTCTAGCGCCGTGTAAGACAAACAGTCTGAAAGAAAAATACACACAACAAATACACAACACTGGTGTTATCCAAAATGATAGCTGCTACATGTACGACTAGAGATACACATCAGGTCTTGACTTCAGGCATATGTTTGCCTAAGCAGGATTTCAGAATTACATATTAAGATTTATCAGTCCAAAGGAGTCATCAGCAATGAAATCGTGAACTTGCAGCAAGCTAACAACTTCATGCTGACTTCTAGGTGCATACTAAGGGTGAAGTAAGATTCATATCAAGCTCCAAATGAGGTGCCCAGTATAAGACTGTGTTGTAACAGCTAGCCTACAGTGAATTTTGGTGTATTAAAGCTTTTCATTTATTATGCCTGTCACTGGTAGGAATCATTCTGCTGTGTCAAGGAAGTCAAAATGGGCTCAATATTTAACCAGGGCAACATTTAGCTTCTTCCTCCCATACCAAATTCCAGGCTGCTCTAGTAAGGCTGCCACCACAAGTGAAGTTTGAATGCCTAAAGCAACCTCATCAGCATCTAACTGCTCTGCCTTCGTGTCTCAATTACATGAGGCAACACTCATCACTTTCAAAGCAGCCTAAACTACCCCTGACATTGCACAGATGAAGTGTCCAGGTTGTTGAACCTCTCTCCATGGACTGAGCAAGAAGCATGCATTGTGTATGAGAACCTGCCTTGCTAACATCTACACTTAAGGCTGGGATTTCTTTATTCAAGACTTAATGCCTTCTACCACAATTTACAAAACAATAATCCCTTATTACCAAGATTTTGCACTGAATCTGAAATTATCTGAGTGGGAAAGTATGTGCACCAGAAGAACTGAAAAGAACTGAAAAACCTACTTTAAAAAAAGAAAGAATGTCTCTAGATGCGATTAAATTCCCAGTATCCACATGTGCTAAACTCTAAGCCAGAAAGCAAAAATATGCCTTAGTTTTGGCTTCAAAACAGAAAGCATGCAGACAAATCTGGAATAACTAATACTTTTCTCAAGCTGTCTGCTTCCAGTCAGTGCTACCTCATGCATTTTGTGGCTTTCTGTGGATGATAAATATTTCTCAATCCAGACTTCTGAGGCAGGGATGCTTTAGAGGTCTGAAAACATATTTCTCTGGGCATTAAAACAGTCCTTCCTATAATAAAACTCAGACAAGGATAGCATCTTGTCACCTTCCAACTGCTAAAGCTCATTTGTGCCTCTTTAGAGGGAGAAGAAACAGTGCTTGCAAAGACAATCCAAAGGTTCCTCAAATCAGTCTTGTTCGAAAAGAAAGAGGTGGTTTGAAACTGGAGTTCTTGACAAGGAAGACTGACATGTAATATGTGAAAATGGGGGAGGTTTATGATTTTTAGAGTTAATCCTCTAACACCAGCACTAAATAAGCCAAATACTTAAGTGGAGCCATTAGGAGATACTGGACTCATCTGTTTGCTTTGCAGAGGGCTCGTGAGTTACCTTTGGACAGGGATTTTTAGTAGAAAAATTCTTCCTTTGTCTTTTCAGAGACCTAAAGTTCTAATGTCCTTGTGTGCCAGGAGGCTGTTGGGCAGGCAGGGAAGGCTGACCTAAAACATCGGGTAGTTCTGACTAAGTAACTCGGTCATTTTAGTTTCCCTCCCTGGTGATCTTAGATGAGTAAGGATATATTTGGGTAGACATTTTATTCAGCCATGTAGCTTATTTTGGCAAGTACAAAAACAACCGAAGAATATCAGGAGGAATTATCAGATGACTCATAAATGAATGGATTGGGAGCACAACAGCAATCTGGCAAACTGAGTTATGTTTTCCACAAAATTTCCTGCCCTGGGAGCTACTCACAGTGCCTTTAAAAAACAGAGCCTGTTTTGCTGATGGTTTCCTACACATTCAGTGATACAGCGAGTACATGTTTCACTTTGCCTTTGGTAGGTGTTTGCTCATGTTTCTGTGGGAGTTAATAGCTTCTTATCACCTATATTCATGTTGGATTTGGCTTCTCTACTTGAGAAGCCAGTCGTCACATGCCTGCAGGCTCTTGGCAGGCCAGCTTCTGGAGAACTTCCCAAGGCTTGCCTGGTGTCACAGGTGAGTAAATGCAAACAAAGACTGGCTTGCTTTTGCAGGACACCACAGATGTTAGCTGGAAAGAACTATATCAAACCCACAACACACACTTGACAACTTCTTGTGGTCTACCAAGATTTTGGCTTTTAGTGATTCAGTCAAAAAACGTTCAGTTGTTTTTCTCTCTGGTTTATGTGCATCCTTGCTATCTCCCCACTAGCTCTCTTGGCCAGCTGAGCAATGTGTTCAGCTCAGAGGAATTCTGTGTATGCAGCACCAAAGGCCACTTTTTCAACATTTACAGCTTCATCTGTACAATCTCCCACAAGCAGACATTACAGACGTCTATCTGCACCAAAGTCAGAGTAATCAGTCTGTGCTGAAGGGAGGTTCAAGCCAGTTTCAACCAAGCCTACTCAATCTAATGGTGATCCAGCTGCAGCAATGCAGAGCTCGTGCTAGGAGTACTTTATCCTCGTTCTGGTCAAACACCCTACTGCAGGCTCTCCATGAGGATCCAGCCAGTGTTGCATTCTGAGTAAATGGTCCCAGTAGCCAGTCTCATCACCAATCAGGAGATGAACACAAATATGCAATGTGTCTTCTTTCTGAATATCTAAGTAATGTGTGAGCTACACATATGTTTATGGAGCTTGTTAAACTGGTACTATACTGTCCTGGTTTCACTGGGACAGAATCATAGGACTGCCATGGTCTGCAGGCCATTAGCTGTCTGGAGTCAGCCAGGGCACTTGACCTGAGCTGGCTCACAGGTATATTCCACACCATAAATGTCATGCTCAGTATAATGGGGGAAGTTTACTGAGAAGGGGTGTGGGTGTGTACACGCACATGCATGTGCTTGCATGTGCTGTTTCATTAAATCTATTTTCATTTCAACCTGGGAGTCTCCTCTCTTTTTCCTGATCCCTCTTCTTTGCTGGGGAGGGGTCACTGGGTGACAAAGCAACTGCTGTAGTTTAGCCCCTGATATGGACTAAGCAGACACAGAAGATTAAATATTTAAACTGCCTCTTGAAAGGCATATTCCCAGCATGCTAGCAGGCTGGTGGCATTGATGAGCAGTAGCAGAAAAGGCAGCAATGTGTGGCTGGGAAAACACTCCATTCTTCATACCTCTCTCCCAAAGCTGCCCAGCACACACCAAGAGTGTTGGTGGATCTTTTGAAACAGACACTTATATGGATGGCATGGAGATACGGGTGTCAAGAAGAGGTTCTTAATGCAGTAATAAGCTATCAAATCTGACTGCTGCTATTTAACAGTTAGAGTAGAAAGCCTTGTTTCTGGAGGAAAGGCTCTTTCAGCTCCCTAATTAGCTTTGTTTAGGAAAGTTTTGGCATGCAAATGACATGCCATAAATCATGCAGGCTTTAATGAGAAGCAATTTGTCTTCTGGTTTCTTAAAGCTTCTCTCAATTCAGACAGGAGGAGCTTTCCCTCCATCTCTTTCCACCCTGCCACACAAGACCTGCAGGTGATGGAGCAGCCAGATGGCCTGGGCACCTTGTGCCAAACTCCAGCAATAGCATCCTGTCACACCCTCTCCAGACGTTACTGACTGCCGTCTTCTCCCACATCACTGTGCACAGGGTGAGCCTCAAGATGTGGTGAGTAGGGGATGTGTCTCAAATGCAGATCTGTGTGACATAAAAGTAACGTGCTGGTGAAGAACCAGGGCACTCAAAAAGAAACCCCTCCACAATCTGTCATTCCAATCCTGGAGCCCAGCTGCTTCTTGCTTTCATCACAAACTGCTGGTTTATGCTGCTTTATGCTTTCTGGGCTGTGCCTACCCGCAAAAGAATAAGGAGTTTGCTTTTAAAATCAACTGAAAGCAAAGATTTCACACTACCAAATCAGGACGGCTTATGCTTTGTGGAGCCCAAACATCAGTGCCTGGTCTAAGAACTGACAAGGGGAAACTATGTAGTTCAGAGCAAGCTAAGGCTGTGGACTCTCCTAAAGAAAATTACCATAATAATATGGTAATTTATGCAAGAGCATGGCACACAAGGTCCTGCCTATGCATCAGAAAAGGGCCATTTGAACTGCTGATTCTAACAAAACCACATAATATGATCAGCAGCACTAATGAAAAGTGTTGCTGATACCTTTATGTTGTAAGTCCAAGTATTGTCGGTAAACAAGTCACTATGATACACTAAAAATAATACTTACTGCCAGCACAGACCATTCCTTGGAACTGAATAAGGCACTAAGGCTTTCTGAAAAGCTGAACCCAAGCTCTGCCTCTCAATCTCTAACTATTTTGCACAAGAAAACCCCACCCTGGTCTTTCTCTCCTTCTTGCATGTGCATATGCACAGAGTGTGGGTTCCATCTGCCAGCACAAACCCTGAGGGCAGGAGATAAGAGGAGCTCCACACTCACTAGTGGCAGCAGAAACTAGACTCCCTCTGTGTGTTGTTTGTTTGTTTGTTTGTTTTTTACACCATTTGGGTCTGCATGTGCACAGGCAGGAGATCCTCGACTTACCTTGAACTTGAGTGCCAAGTGTACTTCTCCAAGCAGTTCCAAAACCTAAGTTAGAAAAAGCTATACACAAGAAAACCTCTGAACTGCTAGTAAAGAAAACATTAATGGATGAAGTGATGTGTGTCTTAAGCATGCTTCAAGGAACTTCAGACAGCTCCTCAGCCAAATGTGACCTTCCCTGTTCATCTCAGCAGAAAGTTAACCACACTCTAAAAATAGTGGCTGCACTCTTCTGGCCTTCAAATAATTGCTTCTCATGCTGCTGTTGCTTTGAACACCTTTTCTTTTATAGATTTGTCTTGACAGGGTTTGCTGGGGACAAGGGGTGTAATGGCTCCTACTGGTACCTTTTTGTGTCCAAAACACCTACTAATCTTCACAGTTTGCTCAGGACAATATGGACAAGGAACTTTTCACATCTGCTGTCTGCACACAGAG